TGAGCAACACATAAATGTTAAAGATACTATAAGTATGTCTTCATAGATCTCTAAAAATAATTAAATTCAACTGTATAATTTTTTTGTTTTAAGCACAAAGAACTTTGAGGATAATGTAATTCAGCCTACATTTTGTGGAATTATGAAACCAAGGTCTAGGATTCCACGAGATTGCATAGCCATTTAGTGCAAGATGGGTAGCAAAATTCATTATTTGCAATCTAATGCTGTTTAACTTGTTTTAGGATTAAATCATTGTCATGTAACAGAGAAGCCCTGTGAAAGGAAAAACTCACCAAGTGTGAGGGAAAGGAATACAGCCGGATTTAGAGTCTGTGTAGTATTTTCTCTTTTGCCAATTTTTATCTCCATTTTCTCTGTTTATTCCTTTTTAGCTGTCAGGTCTTTTTCACAGAACTCATAGTTCCCATACTCTGATCCAGGTTAATTTCTATACCCTGAAACAGGTGGTTACAAGGCAGTCAGCAAGATGAAGAAACACAAACATATCATACACATCCTTAAGAGGACAAAGGTAAAGCATAGTCACATTTCAGTGTCAGGAAATATTGGCCCAACATTTGCTTTCTCTTTCCAGGATTTAAACTGCAATATATAATCATTATCCTGGATCACAACTTATTTGAAGCTTTAAGAGGTGCTGGACAGCGCTAAATATTTTCATCTTGGAAAAGGCCAGGATGAAGCTAGCTGAAGCAGAAAATGTAACAACAGCTGGCTTCGTCCTTTCAAAAAAATGCATTTAAAAGGTTATAATCCCACCAGAGTAGTAGATTTCTTGAATATTTTAGCCAGCCTCAATCTCAAAAATGTTCAAAATGCAATGCCAACAAAGCGGAGAAACTTTTTTCATTTGATTTAAACTAGCCAATGTCTTCTTGTCAAATGCATTGGAAATCCAGCAATAGGCAATTTCTAATTACAAGATGCTGAGTCAAACTACTGAATTAAGAGCTCTATCGTAGTCAGTAAGGGCTTTGACAAGGAACCAAATGTAACAACATTAAAGAAGAGTCCACCTAAAGTCTCACCATTGCAGACAGAGGATAGAAGAGGGAGTCCAATCATATTTAGGAGTAACAAAAGAAAGAACAAACAGAAAAACAGAATATTACAATTTCCTGAATTGCCTCATTCTGGGCCATCACCAATATAAATATACCCATGTTATTTAGTGATTAAAAGGGTCACAACGTATTACCAAAATACTCAAAAGAGACAAAATTAGAACACTCTGACATATTATTTTTGACAAAGATAACTCTGAAACACTAGGTTTCATAAATGCTAATCAAATAGTTACTATGTTAACCTTTTATCAAGAGATTTTTAGGATATTTTGAATTTCTCATTAAAGCAAGGTGAACAAGTGTTTAAAAATAAAAATGAACAACGAGGAAAATAAAGTGCGGATTATCACTTTTTTCTCCCAGGGCAAACACCACTGATGGACACCACTCTACAATGACCCTGAACCTGGCCTCACAATCCTTTACAAAGCAGTTATTCATTGTCAGTAAACTGAGGTCAGCATTCACAATAACACTTCTGGTCAATTCACTGGTGGAATGAACTTTTGAGAGCAGGGACTTTGTTTTACTTGCCTTCATATTCCAGTTCCAAAAATTTGCCTGTACAATAATACCCACAAACAGTTAAGGGACAACTGGTGCCAGAATCTAAAACTAGGTTTTTTCAATTGGTTATTTTCAAGAGAAATTATGCAAGTGAACAAAAATAATGTGCAAAAGTATATTCTATTTCACTTGAAATTAAAAATCGTTTTGTCAACTTTTGGTTAGTTAAGTAAATAGTTACTAAAAAGAAATTAATATTCAATGTTAAGAATGAAGAGAAGCAAACACAATAGTATCCTTTTAGGCACACAGAGTATGTTCCAAGACTTCTAGTGAATATCAGAAACCACAGTGATGAAGCTTATGTATAGTATTTTTCCTTATATATACATACCTGAAATGTACTTTATATGCTAGGTGCAGTAAAAGATTAACAGCAATAATTCTTAATAAAATTAAAAATTATAGGACTGTACTATAATAAAAGTTAGGTGAATGTGGTCTCTTCCTCTCAAAATATCTTGTTTACTATACACACTTTTATTGTGATGATGTGAGATGACACGATGCTGACAACATGATGAGATAAAGTAAATTATTCAGACATTTTGACATAGCATTGAGCTACTATATAAGGAAAACTTGGACAAAAATATTGCAATTGTGTGACAGTAGATCTGATAACCAAGATTACTATTAGGGCACTAACAAATGAGTAGCATATATAACATGGACATAGTGGGCTGAGAAATGATTCATGCCCGAGGCAGGAGGAACATGGGCCAGATTTCATTCTGCTGCTCAGAATGGTATGCTATTTAAAAGTTAAGACAGTTTTTATTTCTGGAATGTTTGATTTGATATATTTGGACCAAAATTGATGCAGGGAAACTGAAACCTCACAGATAAAAGGGGACTACTGTACTTGTCTGTGTAGGAGGTAAGACTATAACTTGTTATAGCTTCTCCAGAAAAAGCATAGTTTATCAGAAATAGTAAAAATAAGAATACTTTGACAGACATTTCACCTATGGAAATGTATTTCACAAAGGCAAGTATTTGTGCAGAGATTTAGCAACAAGAAATTTTATTGTAGTGTAAAAAACTTAATGTGATTAATGTGACCAAAAGAGATTGGTTATATAACATTTGATGACTGCTATATAACATTATTTATATTATATTTTCAATATTATACAGGAATTAAAATGATATAAAATGCACTTATCAATATAGACTATTATGCATTGTGAACCAAATAAAATGAGACTAGACAATTATATTAATATGTGGTCTAGATGATCTTACATGTTAACTTCCACTCAACAGACAATATAATGAAACAGTTTCATTTTCTATTTTTGCCTTATGTTTTTCTAATGATTGTAAATTGCTTTGGAAATAAAAGTAATTTAAAATATTTTTTAAAATGCTGTTTAGAGAAGTTTATAGTTTTTTCCTGATATAGTCACCCACATCAAGCTGAATATTCAAAATCATACCACTGATCATTCTTTTCAAGAAGAACTATTTCATCATAAATGTTGGGGGCCCTCCCTAATAATTTCAATGGTGAGGATTTGAAGAGTAAATCTTAATTCTGCACCTCTTCTTCACATGTTCTTTGTTCTATCTTCCTTTCCTCAGTCCACCTCTTCCCTTAAATTCTTCCTTCTTCTCCATTGAAACACTGAGGCAAAATAAGGACAGAAGTCTGATCTGAATGATTTGTTATAGAAGGCAAATGGGAATCAATTATCCTTTACTTAGGTTTTCATTGTTAGCTTTTTTAAAATAAAAATAAAACATGCTTGTTCGTTATGTCCAAAATTGTAGAGAACATTTCCAATTAGTAAGAAAAACACCATTAATATAGTCCATATACTTATAGTCTATATCAGGTTTTGAACAAATTATTTTTCTTTTTTGTAGTTAAAATTATACTGCATACATGATCACATGCCTCATTTTTCTAAGTAGAGGTGCATACAAAGTAGTTTTTCAGTGCTCTATTTTCTTTAAATATAGCTGCTGTGTCTAGCCTACATTTTTCTCATTTATTCTCAGTTAAAAATACTCTTGCATGCCTACTATATGACCATTAAACACAAAATGTACAATCATAGAGAATATAAGCTCAATCACCTCTCTTGGACTGGTACATGCAAGGCCTCAAGCTATACCTTCGTGGGGTGCACTGCAGGTCTCAATAAATAACATATGCAGTCAAGGGAAGTGAAGTATAGGTGTTGACTCAAGTCGCATCATGAGCAAGAATTGCCTGTGCTCAGTGTTACCCTTAGTCGTTTACTCTTTGATTCCTTTAATGTCCCCTAATTACTTTTCCTCTCTCTTGGGAAACAAATAGAATCAGCAAATCATAATTATTGTTCCTTCTGTCAGGTAAGTCACATTAAAATGCATAACCAAAAAAATCAATTTAACAAGCAAAAATAAAGAGAATTGGAATGATGTCAAGTTTGTGTGTCCCATTATACATATATATTGTGCACTTACTAAAGAACAGTGGGGGATCTTTACATTAAATGTATCTTGGAGGAGGTATTGAAGGAAGGCTGTTTTCAAAATGCTTCATGGCAGGAACAAAGCAGAAGCTGATCATTTAGGAGGTTCTCCTTGGGTTATGTGTAAAATCCCTTCATTCCCTACTGACCTGGCATGGAAGGCAGATGCAAGGATAATGAATACAGTGGGGGCCATTGAGAGGTTCAGAACAGTGGCTAGTTGCCAAACAGTGTGAAAGTATTTTAACATTTTAACGAGTGGTATGACAGACTTCACCCTGCAGGAAATGTATCACAGTACTATGGTGATTTCTGCTCTTGGGATGTACTCCGAAGTGGTCACAACAGATCTCTTTCTAAAGAGTAAAACCTTGTGTATAGTTAATTCTCTGTTAATCTCTTAAAGGTAGAAATTCTAAATCTACTGAGACAACTAGAGAGTGAAAATTCCATGAGCAGACAACTGAAATCAAATATAAACCATATAGGAATATAGCTTAAATATTATAGAGATAGAAGGAGAAAAGAGAAGAGGTAAATAAAAAATTCACTGATTAGGCTTATTAATTGGACAATCTGAATATCTGCTTATTGTAAAAGAAAAAGAAGCTGGGCTTGGTAGCACACTTGGTGATCCCAGTACTCAGGTGGCTGAGGCAAAAGGATCATTGTGAATTCAAGGCCAACCTGTGTTACATGGTGAGTTCAAGGCCAGCCTGAACTACATAGTGAGGCACTGTCTCAAAAAAAGAGAACAAAACAAAACAAAAAAGAAAAGAAAACACAGTCATTCTTTATAAACTACATTTATGAAATGATAGTATATGTATTTGTAATATAAATGCTAACATTTTAATAGAATATTCTTTTCTTTTAGATATCCTTATTGGAACAGACTGGATTTGGAGGTGTTCTTCTATATATTGACCCTTGCGATCTACCAAAGACTGTGAACTCTAACTATGATACCTTCATGGTGTCTTTGAATCCAGGAGGAGATCCTACTACTCCTGGTTACCCAAGTGTTGGTAAGTTTGTCATTCATCTTTAATATTATTGATTAACTTATAAGATAAACACCATGAAGGGAGGGTACTCCATGTCCATCAAATGCATCTAGAACTATCCAGGAGCATGAACTATCTGCTAGTGTTTTGGAGCAGCTGTAATAACTAAGTCCTGAGTCTAGGACTACATATGCATTCCAGGGTCCAGGAGTACATATGGTTAGGTTGGCAACATGCAGAAGAAGCACATGCAGAGAAAAAGGGAATAATATCAAATTTTCTGGCTTCCTAAGAAAAGGACCTCCTTGGTGTGGACAGCCACACCTGCGGACAGCCACAGGCAGCACACAGCTGGCTACCTTTGCATCACACTTTTTTCTTTTTACCAGTAAGCTGTATAAGAATGGGGGTCCTGTGGCAGAGAGACAGTTATATTTTTGGCACATGCTTGTTTTATCATTGCATTGATGTTCAATGTGTCATTGGCACAGATTTGTTTTGTATGTATTTGCTGCTGAAAAAGCCTTTTGAACATTTGTCCAGGATAATACTAACCCATTAACCATCACACTCTAGTCCTTAATTAAGCTGACAAAAATGTGTAATTATCCATATATCAGTCCAATATTTTTCTTTACCCTGAAGTATTACAAAAGACTTTACTAGTAATCTTACTCAAATCTACTTCTCTTTTCTTTCTATATATTAACTCTAGCAATAAATTAGTAACTTCTCCAAGAGAAAAGTAAATGGAGTCAAGAATGTTAATGTATTTATTTTTTTGAGTCCACTGATTACAGCCTTGTTGTCTACTACAAAAGTACCCTTTTAGTAATTGATGAAGGACTTTTTTGGGGGACCTCAGTGATCTGTACTTTGCACAGGCCCATGTCTTGGCATTCTCCTTTTGAAATGAGAACTAGTAGTTGCTCATCTATGATTTGTAGGTGTTGCTGAAGCCACTGGTTCAGCTCTCTCATTAGCAGATGCTCTCACTGCTCTTGGTTGTATTCCTTCAGCTTCACAGGCTACATTTGACAGCTCTTTGGGCACATAAATGGGCTGTATCAAAAGCAGATTATTTACAAGTACTCTGCTTAATTTCGTTAAGTTGAAAAGTCGGTAACATTTACCAATAACAGTTTTATTTCATAAATGCAGAATTCAATCTTATCTAGAAAGTGTTGGCCAGAACTTTTCTTTACTTTTTATTTTGAGATAATGTAGACTTGGAAAAAGTTGCAAAAGTTGTATATATAGAATATGTATACCTTTTCCCCAGCACCCATATCGATATCTCAGATAACCATATCCAATTATCAAGTCCATAAAATGAACATCAATGCAATATTACTAAATAATTACAAACTCATTCAATTTTCTTCATTTCTCCCAATAATCTTTCTTTTTTTAACTGGTGCATCATCTGATCTGGAATGCATCCTGCATATAGTTGTTTCCTTAATCTCTCCAATCTGGAATATTTCTCCATCTTTCTATAACCTTGAAACTTATGAAGAACATTAGCTTGTTATTTTGTAGACTGTCAATTGAGCTTCTCCAATACATCTGATGATTAGATTGGGCTCATACATTTTTGTCATACTATAGAAGAGAACTTCTGCCTTCTCGATGTGTATCAATAGGTACATATTGTTATGTCTCATTTCTCACGATAATAACTTTGATCCCAAGGTCATGGTAGTGTTTATCAATTTCTTCTGCTATTAATTTTCCTTTAAAATTAATGAGTTTCTTGCAGAAAGATGCTGTACTAATGTAAGTATCCTCTTTCTTGTCAAAAATTTCCCTACAGATTTGAGAAACCATGATTGAGTGATTTTTGTCTGTTAAAATTAATGTGGTATTTGCCAAATGAAGATAATCTATGTTCATTATTCCTTTAGAATACTTTTCAAAAACACATTTGTACAAGATAAGTAGTCATACTTTCTGCTTACATTTTGAAACAAAGATGTATGATTATATAGCAATTTTGGAAAAATTACAAATCAGACCTCTAGTTCCAGTGACAAATCATCAGTACAACAAATGACATAATGTACTGTATTACTTAGGTTCACTTACATAGTTCTCACATGAGAAATATATTTACAAATATAATGCTAGTGAATACAAGTTGTCTCCTTTTTTATATATGAACCTCTACACAATACACAGAAATGGAAAATTTTCAAACTATTGTATTTCTCTTTTTGCCTGGGTTACTTAGAAGCTCTGGCTAAAGGCAGTGATCTATACCCTTGTTTTCTGATTAATCTATTGCCTTTCTTCTGAAATAACTTAATATGTCTATGTTTTATGGTTTCATAGATTTTTTACAGAATAATAAAATTCTTCAGAAATATTTTTCTTGGGTGGTACAGGAGAATGTAAGTTTTGAGTTATAATTAAAGCCAATAGATAATAGTTTATCTAGAATAAATCAAGTATCTAACTCAATAATATACAATACTATAAATTAGGGGAACTGATCTGAAACTATTTCTCTTTTTCCAATTTTCTGAACGCTATTTTACTACCTAATTGAAGGATTAATTAGTTCTGAAGCAGTGTATTCAAACAACCAAAAATTGCAGGAAATATTTTTAACCTCATTTTTTTATATATATTTAAATGGAATAATAAAATATTGACACCAGATGCTCTACCTAGCTTTACCAACTATCTATAGTCTTCCATTTTTGTGTTGTCTATACATGTTTTGGTTGTTGTTATTAAATTCTTTTATTGGTACATTTTAGGTATACAACACAATTACATTTCTCATTGAGAGCTTGTACCTTTACATGATGCATCTTGGTTCTTATTTTTTCCCCATTCCTAGCCCTCCTTTCACTCCCTCCACCCTTCCCTATTTACAAAGGCTTTATTTCCATTT